GTGTGTGTGTGTGGGCAGAATCCTCTTGACCAAAGCAGAAGGGATATCTAAACTAATTTACCCATGTTACGCTCTTTATGTTTCTCCTCAACTGATAAAAAAGGTTAACTCGATTATGTTTAATTTTATATGGAAAAACAAAACTCATTATATTAAAAAATCTCAGATGATTAAAGAATATAAAAATGGAGGTCTGAAAGCCACTGAATTTGAATCAACGGTTGGAGTACTTAAACTGAACTGGATTAAAACGTATTTAGCACAGCCTAACTCATGTGTGTGTGTGTGAGCGACGTATAATAATCCATGCTTTTTCCAGTGTACAGAGGTTTACAGGAGTTTTTTGTTGTTAATTTGTAGCAATAAAACACTGATGTGCCAAGCTATCAGAATTGAACCGAAATGAAACCGTGGTAGGAATTGAACCGTGGACTAACTGTATTGTTGCATCCCTACAGCAGATGTTCATGTATGAAAGCCCTGATCAATGAGTCTGTCTTTATCTGATGACTGTGCGGCATCTGCGCTGAGCAGACAATCACTCAATCCACAGTTTGCACAAACAAATATGAAACATGTTTCATGTTAATCTAATAGACTTTAGTCAGGGAAAAGCCGTATTTAATTTAAAGCACAGTATGGCGTCCTCTCTGACTGAGGTCCATAGCACTCGTGGTGGAGTGTGCATCTTTAAAACATGAAACTATTACAATGGTTTGAAAGTATAATCACATGAGGCTAGTGTGATAGAATCACTCACCAGTCCTGACTGAAGTTATATTCCGCTGCTCATTGAGTAAACCTTGTGGCCTTCATGTGATGTTTGCACAGAAAGGCATGTGAAGTGGCAATCTGAGCTTGTTTGCATGCAGCATCTGCAGCGAGTAACGCGGCCAGTAGTTCCTTCATCACAAAAAGGTGATTGAGACACTTTGCGGCTCAAATACTGAAGAGTTCATGTCAGTTATTGAACAACATGGAGATTGCTGTCTGTGCTAATCGACTGCACGTCACAGACACGGACGTCACAAAAGACGCACAGTGTTCCTTGGTGTCAGAAGCGTGTTTTCCTGCGCTGAAGCAGTGCGCGAGCGCAGGGAGTCGTTGTGAGGAGGTCCTGAGGCCAGATGGCCAGTCAGAAACACGTTTAGCAGGGAAGTCAATTAGAGCTGATTATAGCAGCTTCTGCAGAATAGATCTGGAACATATGCGTGTTTCACTGCGCTAATATCACCCAGCGCTGCAGCTACTGCCGTCTGCGTGTTTCTGCCATGTGGAAACGAGTCGGGACGGGTTCTGTTAAATTCCCAAACAGGTATTCGTTGCAGATGTGTTTCACAGAGCCGTCCCGTTCAGAAAGAACTTTTGGAAAATTGCAAATGACGTTCAGACAAATTATGCGCTGGTAAAGCTCGGCCCGGAGAGACCCCAAACCAGACGCAGAGCCCGAGAAACCCTGACCATTTCAGTTTAAACGTGACATATACTTCATGACACATGTTTGCATTTGCTTGCAGCTATACAAATAAAACAGAGAAACTGTGAAAAAAAGAAACAAAGTTACAGGTGAAGGTGAGAGAGAATGTTGAGTGTGTGTGTGTGTGTGTGTGTTGTGTCTCAGGTGGTGTGTGTGTGTGTTGTGTCTCAGGTGGTGTGTGTGTGTGTGTTGTGTGCGTTGTGTCTCAGGTTGTGTGTGTGTGTTGTGTCTCAGGTGGTGTGTGTGTGTGTTGTGT